AAAGTCTAATAATGTTGATAATTTTTCTGCAGAATCTTGTTAAAATAGAAAAAGAATTTTTTCTTTTCTTTTTTCTTTTGCCTTGCTTTGTTTTTGGGTAAACTAACTTCTCTTATGTTTTAACCAACTTAAAATCAGTCAGTGAAAACCAACAAACATTCAAATAAAAGATATTCTTTTCTCCTTTTCTAATATCTTCTGTCTTTTCTCTTGTACACACTCTGAGTAATAAAGTTTTTTGTTCTTGTTTTTCAATCATAATTTCTTTTTTTGATCCATTTTCGACTTGGGAAGATTTGTGCCTTGCCGCAATTAATTCTTTTATCTTATCTAAAACTAGTTTTCGTCCATATTCTCTCTCCGCTGGCTAAACAAAGTTTTAATTCTTCGACTTGGGCTAATTCTTGCTGCGGTTGGTATTTTCTTTTATTATAAAAAAGAACTAAAATTCCGCATCCAAAGCCAGAAGAAATAGTAAATTGATTAATATTTATTTACCTTTAAAACTAGAAATTTAAGTGAGAGGTTACCAGGTTATAAGCAAACTAATAATAGAGCTGAGATAACGGTTAGTGTATTTATCATAATTACTTTTATTTTATTATTTGGTTAAAACATTATTTATTGATCAATTTATTTCTTCTGATGTTTGCAGGCTATAATACGTGCACTGGAAACATGTACTGATCTTGATAGTCCATTAGAAATCAGGACAGACAGTATATATATTGTTAAAGGTAATTAAAATTTTATAAACATTTGGATCAAGATAATATTAATTTATATTTATAAATTATAGCATATTATGAATGGATTCCAAATTGGGAAAAAAATGGCTGGAAAAGTCGAAATAAAGATGTGGAAAACAGGGATCTTTTTATAAAATTAACAAATTTAATTAGGGCAAGACCGGGCCATGTTATAATTGTAAACATATTTATGATTTCCATATTATAAATTTGTATATATATATATATATATATATATATATTTATTTATTTATTTATTTTTTTATAATTTATTTTAACAAAAATTAGACACATGTTCGTGGTCATCAAGGTTTAGCTGGTAATGAAGGTGCTGATAAATTGGCAAATTTAGGCGCTCTATTGCCAGATGTTGAAGAAGATGATAGTTAAGATAGTGATATGAATAAACAAGATATGGAAAATAATAAATCATCTTTAGGTGGGTAGGTTTTTTAAAAATTGGCTTTTCTTTCATTGACTGTGTTATGAAATTTTCTTTTATTGTAAGGAAAATAAATCACACATCATTTAACAGGTAAATGAGAGCAAATTCCTTTTTTTTTTTTTTATAAAAAATATTAAATAAATAAAGTTATAATTAAATATTTATTTGGTTTAACAATATAAGAGAATGTAAATTTGTAGATCAATTATGGATCAAAGACATAAGAAATACACCAATAATATATTTTATTTAAATATTACAATACAATATAATAAAAATAATTTTAAAAATATAAAGTTTTTTGTAATGCTTTCAAATATTCTTATGAATTTTAATTTGGTTATTGATTTCTAGAAGAAATTTTTTTTTTTAAAAAAATTTAAATTAGTAATTACTTACAGTGACAACTATAACTATAAAATTTAATCCAAGAGTACCTTCAATGATTTTTAAATAAGCTTTACTGGCTGATGAATCAGGATATTCATATAAAAATGATAGTCCACTATCACAAGATTTTCCTGATTTTTAAAAAAAAATAAATATAAGAATATTTTTATTAATATTTTTATTAATAAAATAAAAGAAGCATGGTAATGATCAATAATACCAATTCTCGGATCTAATGGAATAGAACCTAAAAAAGGAATTTCATTATCTTCTGCCATTTTTTTTGCACCTCCAGTTGTTGCTGCAAAAATCACTGATTCTTCCTAATAATGAAAGCAATAGTTTAATAATGTATTACTGCGTGATCTCTTGTGATCAAATTTATATAAAAATATTGATACCAACTTTACAATTTGGACATATAAAACCGCTCATATTTTCTACTACTCCTAATATTGGAATTTTAACTTTTTTACAAAAATCAATTTCTTTCCTTACATCTTGTAAAGCAACTTCTTGAGGTGTAGTTATTATAATTGCACCATCAATTCCACTGTCTTTAAGATATTGAACAATTGACAAGTGTTCATCAGATGTACCAGGAGGTGTATCTATCAATAAAAAATCCAATTCTCCCCAATCAACATCTTTCAAAAATTGTTTTATCAAACCTTTTTATTTGAAAATTATATAAAAAATTTAGTATTTTTTTTTTTTGAATATAAAAATACAAATTGTATAATACATATTCACCGTTTTTTTTAGGCCCACGCCAAATGATTGCTTCATCAGGATTTGGTAACATAAATCCAATCGACATCACACCCAAATTTTCCTGTACATAAACTGGCGACCATCCTGACAAACTTTGATGGATCTGTTCACCCTCTAACCCCATTATTTTAGGAATTGAAGGACCACAAACATCAATATCCATTATTCCAACCTTTGAATAGTTAAAAATTAAAAAATAATAGATCTAGGTTACATCTACCACACCTAAAACCAAAAGCAACTCAAACTCATATTATTAATAATTCAATTTCCCAACCTTCATTTTTATATAAACCTGAACATAAAATTTTATTGATAGGAGAAGGTACTTTTTACTTATTTTATTTATTTTTCTTTCTAATATGAATTGTTTGATTTTCACCTCCAAAAAAATTTTATTTTATTAAAACATCTCAGGTAATTTTAGTTTTGCTCATTCACTAATAGAAAACGTATTACCTGCCGCGCATTCAATCATAGCAACCTCATATGACAGTGAACAAATTGTTTATGAAAAATATAAAGATTCAAAAGAACATATAGACTCGATAAAATTTTTTGGTGGCCAAGTTTTATTTAATATTGATGGAACTAAACTGCAAAAATACAAAGATTTAAAGAATAAAAGATTCGATAGAATAATATTCAATTTTCCTCATACTGGTTAGTTGTCATTATAAACATTTTTATTATTATCATATTATTGTCTTTAATATTTTTATCAACTTTACTAGGTTTAGGGATTAAAGATCAAGATCGTAATATATTATCAAATCAAAATCTTATAAAATCATTCTTTAACTCATCAATACCATTCCTAACTTCACAATTATTATACTCTGATGACAGCAATGGTGAAATTCACATCACTATAAAATCTGGTTTACCATATGATGATTGGAATGTTAAAAAGTTAGCAAAAAGTACAGGTTTATTGCTCGTAAAGACAACCATGTCATTTTCCCCTGATAATTACCCAGGTTATGTACATAGAAGAACTTTGGGTTATAAAGATGGGCAAAGTAAAGATGATAACGAGGAAATAATAATAAAAAATCCCAAAACAATTATTTTTGTTAGAAAAGATTGAAAAGAAAATCTACTTAAAATAGTTAAATCATTAGCCAAGTTGCAGATCACTATTTTTTCCTCATTACTCATTATTATTATATATAATAAAATTGAAAAAAAAGTTTTCCATAATGTTAAAATTTGCGACCAAAATTTTCAAATCTTCATATAATACTTCGATTTCTTTATTATTATGGTTATTTTATTTTAATTTGTTTATTTGTAATTTCGTAAAAGCTGCTGATCCACCAGAAAGAACACCTTGCACTTTTCTAAACATTACTACAAATAAAATATATAACTTGAACCCTTTGACAAAATCTAGTGGGTAAGTTAATATCCATAATATTTACATTATCATTTTTATGTTTAACAAGAATTTGTTTAACTTTATAAAATTTTATTTTAGTGATGATTGGATAGTTGAGGGATATGATACAGGTTATACTTTCAGAATAAATATTTGTCATGAGCTTCTATACGACGTTGGTACGAAAGTTGGTATTTGGGGTGAAAAAGAAAATGAAAGAGGAGGTTCTTTAGGGTTAGTTTATTAATATTTATTTAATATTTATAATAATTAATAATAATGAAGGAATTTACTTCTTAATTATTTAATTATCCATTAATTTATGATTGAATGTTAAAAGAGAATTTAGCACAGAACCAATTGTTCGAGGTGAAATACAATTGTTTCAATCTATCCTTATTTTCAAATTTTTCTAAATACAATAATTAACAATAAGCTTTATAAATTTAAATAGGTGATAAAGTTATATTAAAATATAAATATGGTAATTACTGTCCAGGAGATAATGCCAAACGTTCGTCTTTAATTAGTTTTACTTGTGATCAATCTGTCAATGGAATTGTAAGTATTCAAATATGAGTATAAATACAAATATGTATATAAATATACAACAAATACAAATATATTAAATGTCTATTAAATTCTAAAAGGGATCACCAACTTTCGTTGATACGGATGATTGTACATATTTTTTCGAATGGAGAACTCCTGTCGCGTGTCCTACAGATGTTACAAACGCTACAATGAGTGGTTTAGGTGTCTTTTTCACAATGTATGTTTCATTATCAAATCAAATCCTTTAGTAATTATTATAATTATGACTAATTTTTAAAATTTTTATAAATAGTTTCATAATTGCATTGATTGTGTATTTGATTGGCGGTATTGTCTATAATAGAATGGTTAACCACGCTTCTGGTGTTTATCAAATTCCTAATTGGCAATTTTGGAGTAATGCTTGGGATTTTATTAAGGTGTTTATTTATTGATATTTATTGTTTTTTATGTATTTATATTTTAAATAATAATGATTTACCTTTTAAAAATAGGATATGTTTTTGAGTCTATTTGTTCAATGTTCGATATTTAAACCTAAACACTCCAGGAGAAGTTATACAAATTTACCTGGAGATGAATCTAATGTATTAATTAGTGATGATTTCGAGGAACATTAAATAAAATTTTTAAAAAATAATTCAATAAATAGTTATGATTATGATTATAATTAGCTTTATTATTATTGATTAATATTTTATTTTGCATATTGGAATTTTTTTATTTGATTTTAATGGTGTAAATAATAGGGGGGGTATATATATTTATATTTATTTATTCATATTATTTATTCATATGATTATAAATAAACATATTTTTAATGTGATTTTTTAGGGTTACTTTTTTATTCAAGTAATAATAATAAACTCTTGATTATAAAGTGTCGAAATCTTCAGGAATACTAAATTGACGATCAAATTCTGAACGTTCAATGTTGAATTTGTTGACACAATATGATTGAAGTATAAAAATATTTTCTAAATACATATATATATATGTGTTGCGTACAATATAATATTATTAAAATTTTTTTTTGATTTTTTGACATTATTAAGAAATTTTATATTTAAATTCATAATATTTACCAGTCCATCTGTTGGCTGCTTCAAATGCAAGTTTGGCATGTTTTTCTTTAAAAAAAATAAAGAATTTAGTCTTTACAATGCGACAGCTTGTTTAGGTACGTAAAATGTATTGATGATAAAATTATAAATTGCATACTTTTAGCTTCCATTAGCACAGGATCACATTCACGATATCGTTCCAATTCTTTTAAATACTGTTTTCTTTGTGATTCAACTTCTTCTAACAATTTCATTTTTGTAGTACGATCATCCTTTTGAATATGATGAATCGACCATTAATATAATATTATATATGTATATCATACGTATAATGCATAAATAACAAACCGATTCCTCACGATCTCCAGATACTTGTTTGATGACATTTTGTAGTTCAGTATTTTTTTCTTTTAATTTTGTAAATTCCTCTTTGAGTGTGTTTATCTTAACTTTTCGCTTATCAAAATAGTCATACACATTAATCAGAAATGAAACCAAAATATAATCGATAATATAGATAAAAACTTACTGATTGAAGTGAACTACTCGGAAATGACCAAAAGTAATTTGATGTACCAATCTTATCAGTAGCAACTAAATTATCATCTATTAAACTTTGTAAAACGTCTTTAACAGACTGTGATACTTTTTATTTACAATATTAATAATTTGGATTTATATAAATAAATGTAATATCTAAATTTTGAAAGATTTTAATTAATTACCGATTCCTTTTATTTTAGGTGCAATTTTTTCTAATTCTTTCAATTGATAAAAATCTTTCTAGAAATATATACGTAATTAGGAGAAAACATCAATAAAGTATGTTATATAAAAACATTATATCTTTTGAAGAAACTCATTAAAATTCAAAATTCAATACCGTTTCATGGAATAATTCTTCAAGTCTTTTACGTTTTTCTGCCGCTGACATTCCTTTTTTAGACTATTTCGATTATTCATTTTATATTTATTTATTATCAATTTCAAAAAAAATTTAATAATAATAATTAAAATAGCGCGTATTTCTCTTTATTTACCATTGTTGTTGATGCTAAAGAATGCTACTAGAAAAATAAAAAACTTTAAATCACGCGTAAATCATGTATATCATGTGATTTTCAAGCTAAATATT